AGGCCGCGGCACAGCGGGACCGGGGTCCCTGCGGGGCTTCGGGGCACAAGGAACGGGCGCCCCAGGCAGCCGGGGGGTCACGGCCTCGCTGGTGTCACCCGTCATTTCATTTGGCTACGGGTAAAGCTCCCGAGCATACCCACAGCGTACTGCTCCCCATGTACCTGGGGCGAAACGCTGCCCGTGCGCTTTTTCCTTTGCCCTATAGTTTCCTTGGAGTCTGATTCTTCCAGCGCTTCCAGTTCAAAGCTTTTAAATACCTTTTAAAACCACAAAAAAAATCTGAGTGGTGCACATGTGTATGAACACCGAATCGTTGTGTGAAAAGATTAATTCCAGTCTCTGATGAAGGGTAACAGCTTCAGCTGCCACAGTGACTCCTGTTTGGAGAAGGGTGAAGCTACCAGCTAAACAGACTTAGGATGATAATAACTAGAAAGAATGTCTTTCTGGCTTGGAGTTCCCTCACATTGATGGTTTGCTCTGCCTGACAAGCGTTGCTGTCCAAGTACAAACCAGACTCCACACTGATGAATTAAAAAAAAATCACACACAGAATAATCTAAATTAAAGCTACTAAAAAAACCCCACAAAACCAAACAAAACCCAACCCTATTGTGTGTTCTGTAACATCACAAAGTCTACCTGCGTGGAGCATCTTGCAGGATTAAATAACAATGAACATGACTTTTGTAACTGCTGACAGCAAGTGTTCCCCCTTTGGGAGAGAGGGAGAGGATTTTAGCATATTGTTTGTACAAACATCATTATCCAAACAGCAGTTGAGGCAGGAGCAGCTGGACCTGAAGAGACTTGGAACCTGTTGGGGTTTTTTTTCTCTTATTAACTGTAAGAAAATAATCAACTGTATCTTAAATTGTATTTCATTCTTTGCCCTTACACCCCTGACTCAAACGAGTTCTGATCTCATGTGAATGCAAAGGAATGCATTTGGTCAGCCTGGTTACTGGTTTGAACAGGAGGGTGTTCTTCACTCTCCAGTAAGAAACACTCGTTTCCCCAGTGACTAAATATATTGGCCTGTGTGGAATACGCTTTTTTCTCTTTCCCAAAAAGTCATACTCTTACTGTGTAGAAGAAACAGTAGTAAGTAATTTGTAACTTACTTAAAATCTCAGTAGCTTCTTATTAAATTTGGAGGGGGAAAAACCAAGGCTTTTCATAAATCTGCCACTTTTGATACACTTCTGGTTTCACTTTCTCTTTCTTTTCTGTTGATAGAGCATCTACACTGTTTGGGGCACAGCGTGCCCAGGTATTTTGTTGACTTCTCTTGCTGTTTTACCTGGCTGCGTACAGACCTACATTACTTCATACTTTCACTTTTTCTGCCCAAAGCTCTATTTGTTTTGGTTAAGTTTGTATCCACTTGTTGATCTTACTGGCCCTATAGTCATCCCTCCGATTGTACGCAACTGCCCTGACGTGTTTCCCTGGATATTTTTTACCCCAAAGTTATCAATTCATGCTTCCAAGGCTGCCCCTGAATCTTTGAGAAAAAGCTTACAGCTCTTAGGTAGTTCTTAGCAGCGGGTGTAAGGAAGTGCAGGGAGGGTGGGGGGCTGTGGAAGCCCTGGTTTAGGGGGGCTCGGGTTGGTGCCACGTTTCGCCGTTAGTTATCCGACCTTGCACCATGGGCCAGGACTGAACCGCACCTCTCTCCCCGCGGGTTTCTTACTTGCTAGGCAAGCGTGAGGCATTCTGGCATGCAGGCTCCTTACAAAATGCTCTTGTAGCTGATCTCAATAAATAAAAAAATAGTTGCTGAGTGAAAAGATTGGCCCCTCCTGTTCTGATAGTCCAGGGGGCTTGCCAGTACCTCGAATGAATGAACTGTTTCAGCCTGAGAAGACTCAGGTGTGTATCTGGTATTTCCCAGGAAAGGGCATAACCATCAGAAATGCTTAATTATTTAATGTTGGGTTTGGAATCAACTGGATGGACACATACTTTTAACCTGAATTTTCAGTATCTATGTCTTTAATTGGGTTCTGCTCTTGCCTCTCCCACCCACTTAGGTGAGGGTGACTGATACCAGAAGGGAGATTTATTTTTCCTGTTTGAACAAACAAGTGGTAGCCAAAATACTTCCCATTACAAATAGATGTTTTTACTACTTATTAATATTCTTCCTCTCCTTTAGCTATTTGTGTTTCTGCATCCAAGTCCACCCCTGTGCCTTTTCATAACTCTCTAGTCCTGGCTCTGCTTTGCTCTTTAGGCCTGGCCAAGTCACTTGCAACTTTTTTAATCATGTTGCCCATTTTGAAACAAGAGATCCTTGCCTATGTGTAAGATACCATTTATTCGGTAGCTTGTGATTAAAAGATGTTACTAAAGCACAATATACAGATATTAGAGGAAAATACCTCTTAAGAGACATCTACTGTTGTATCTGTGCATCTGCTGTTAAGTTTTACATGGAAGTCATTTGCTTTTCAGAGTGTAAAAAAATGGATTTGGCCAACCATGGACTTATTCTGCTGCAGCAACTAAATGCTCAGAGAGAGTTCGGTTTCCTGTGTGACTGCACAGTTGCCATTGGTGATGTCTACTTCAAGGCACACAAATCGGTCCTTGCTTCTTTCTCCAACTACTTCAAGATGTTGTTTGTTCATCAGACCAGGTAACTATAAAAAGGTTCACTGTTTAAATGTTGTTCAGTTAGCTGAGGTAAGGAGGTCTAGCAGTATTTTGAAACCTGAAAATGTTCTTTTTGCTTCTTGCTATGACATAAGGAATATGGAATCCAGTCTTATCTGCAAACCAGAATCTCAGTTTAAAACATGTTGAACTGCGATACATTAACACTAATGTTCTAATTCAGTGCAAATTCTTTAACCTTAAAAAAGCATAAAGTTCCTAGAATTTAATATTTAAAAGATCCTGTCTTCACTCTTGCACTTTCCTTCCCCCACTCACTATCCTCTACTCCGTCTTGGTGCTATTCTTGACATTTCCATAACGTCATATACAACCCAGCAAGTATTTGCTAGGAGATTTTGAGAAATTGATTTATCAAAGAGGTTCATATGTTCCTTTTTTTTACAGTTTATCAAAGTCAGTTAAGTAATAAAATATTACATGGTGGTGGAAAATAAGGGAGTTTGTGTTTCTTTCTTCCCCCCCCCCCCCCACCGCCTTTTTTTTTTTTCCGGGCAGCGTGACCTGGGGGGCATTGAGAAGGTAACAGAAGTGTAAGACTGTTTTAAAGGCTTTTTGGTCTTTTCTTTTTTCCAATTGTTTGAACTATCTCAAAAAGTTTATGGTAAGTGAGTGAAACTCTTAAGTCTTTGGCTAAGAGTTCTTAGCCAAAAGTAAACATCAAAGACAGGATGAAAGGCAGATGTATTGGTCTTGATGCCCCATGAAGAGCACACAGTCATCTCTGGAAGTCAGCATTGCCAAGTTTACTTTTGAGGAACGTACTTGAATTCAAAAGCAGTCAGAGAGTGAGCTCAGGAAGGGTGCATGTCCTGGATAAACTACTACAGTGCACCTCAAGAAATGGAAGAATTGGCTATAATTTCCTCCTCAGCTTGGCTGCCTGCTGTGGTTACAGCATTCAGACCACAGTGCACAGTCATGTCACTTTCTGGATTTCTGTCTTTTATTATAATTTGTTCAGTGTAAGAGCTACAAATAACACTGAAAAACAATGGGAATCCTAGATCCTCTCCTGTTAGCTGACTGGCCTAACCAAGATGTTCCTGATGTTCCTTCTTCTTCTGTGAACCTTCCTTCTCTTTCCGCACAGACATCCAACTTCAACCAGAGAAGTGGTGGGTGTTTCGGTCCAGAGTATCCTAAAGGCTGATATCAGCTAAAGGCTGATGCACAGGGCATGCTCTCAGCTGGAGGATGGTGTTAGTCTCAGTCCTGTTAGGCTGAAGAGGGTATCACAGCCAAAGCACCTCCCTTTGCTGAGCGCTCTGAGGGACTGTGAGGCTGACCAGGCGGGTGCTACCTATTCTTCCAACCTATTCAAGGAAAGAAGCTGCCGTTCTGCTTTGTAGGGAGCCTGGCCTGCAGGGGTTAGATGTGCCCAGGCTACACCTCTTACGTCAGGTCCTCAGGGGATTCACACCCTGTCCTGCCTGGTTTCTGGATCGTAATGCAGTTGGGACAAGGTGATACTGTGCGTTTGCAGAACTGTAGCTGTAAACAGTAATAAGCCATAGAATACATAGAAAATATAAACATATAAACTTTTCTAGACTGTAGTCTATAAAACTTTTCTCTGCCCCCTCCCTGGAAGTGTTGAAGGCCAGGTTGGATGAGGCTTTGAGCAACCTGGTCCAGTGGAAGGTGTCCCTGCTGATGGCAGGGGGGTTGGAACTAGATGATCTTTAAGGTCCCTTCCAACCCAGGCCATTCTATGATTCTATGATAGAAGCCAAACAGGCAAGCGCCAGCTCAATTTTAGATGTTTTTGGGGATAAGTGCAGAGAAAAGTTTAATGGCCTGTGAATTAGGCTCCAGTGCTAACAGGTTTTAGTTTAGCTACAGACGTGTTTTAATCTAACCAAAAAAAGATGAAAAATATCTTTGCGATTTACAAAATACACTAATATGTGGCAAGAAATCTGTAACATAACAGCAGTTTAGAAAGGTGTAGGTCGCAATGGGACAGCTTTGTCTTTCGAGCCAGTTACTTTCCTGAGGAAAAAAGTCATCTTTCAAGTGGCCAATAAGATTAGCTCTTTTACATTAAAGTGTTTCTCAATATTTATTGCAGATTCTCTTTTGAATGTAAGTAGGTTTTTAAAAATCTGATTTTTATCAATGCTCGAATAACCTAGATCTGGTAAAAAAGATTTTCCTTATCTCTTATTGATCATCTTGTTTCACCTTTCAGTGAATGTGTCCGGTTGAAAGCGACTGACATACAGCCAGATATCTTCAGTTATCTCTTGCATTTGATGTACACGGGGAAGATGGCACCGCAACTCATTGACCCAGTTCGACTGGAACAGGGAATAAAGTTTCTCCATGCATATCCCCTAATTCAAGAGGCCAGCCTTGCAAGTCAGGGAACTTTTTCCCACCCAGATCAAGTTTTTCCATTAGCATCTTCATTATATGGCATTCAGATTGCAGATCACCAGATAAGGCATCCCACTAAGGTTACATCAGCGACTGACAAACTCGGGCGAGAACCAAGGCCCCAGACATCACGGATGAACCAGGAGCAGGTTTCTGAAGGCTCACAGCTCTCGCAGTTAGCTACAACTCTGCCACAAGTGACCCGGACAAATATGTCTACTTCTGACCCACTGCCATCTTCTTTATCTCCAGAATTGGTATCTGCTGGTGGTAATAATTCACCTGGAGGAGAAGAGGCCAACATGGAAGCATCTTCTTCAGATGAACAGCCTTCCTCACTCACAATAGCACATGTCAAGCCAAGCATTATGAAAAGGAACGGAAGCTTCCCAAAATACTACGCCTGCCACCTCTGCGGTCGCCGGTTCAACTTGCGAAGTAGTTTGCGTGAGCACCTGCAGATCCACACGGGAGTTCCCTTCACATCCAGCCAGCAGGGAGAAAGTAATATTTCTTTGTCTCTCTGTAACAACACAGCCGATAAAGATGCCGTGGAAGTGCCTGAAGCAGGGATGATTAGTGACAGCGAGCTGCAGCAGATCTCAGACTCCCCGATAATCGATGGGCAGCAGCAGTCAGAGACACCGCCCCCCTCCGACATCGCAGACATAGACAACTTGGAGCAGGCGGATCAAGAGAGGGAAGTAAAGAGGCGGAAATACGAATGTTCCATCTGTGGTCGCAAATTTATTCAGAAAAGCCACTGGAGGGAGCACATGTACATACACACCGGCAAGCCCTTCAAATGCAGCACTTGTGACAAAAGCTTTTGCAGGGCTAACCAGGCTGCCAGACACGTGTGCCTAAACCAGAGCATGGACACATACACGATGGTGGACAAACAGACTCTGGAACTCTGTACTTTTGAGGAAGGCAGTCAAATGGACAACATGCTGGTACAGACCAACAAGCCCTACAAATGTAACTTGTGTGACAAAACGTTTTCAACGCCCAATGAAGTAGTCAAACATTCGTGCCAAAACCAAAACTCTGTCTTTACACTAGAAGAAGATCGCTCCATTCTGCTAGGTGGTGGGGACACAGAAGCCACAGAGACTGATAACGCAGTGTTAGCCTCCATCAAAAAGGAGCAGGAAGCAGTGTTGTTAGACTGAATGTGAAACCTATATCAATTTTTTAAAGTTTCTTTACTCATTTTTTATTAAATCAATTTTTCCCTCCCCCCACCTCTTACCTCACTTACCCCTGCCATCTTTTCCACCAGCCTCCTTCCCCCCCCTTTGTCTTCATCAACCAGAACTGTACTGGCATGTTGGGAAATCGGACTTTGCCTCTCCTACCAAAACAAACAAAACGCTCTTGCATCAAACCACAACATAATTGATTTTAATACAAAGGAACGTGTGGAAAAAAAAAAATCCAGCTAACTATATTGATAGTATTAGTTAATCCAAATTTAATAGATTTTAAACAAAAATTAGATTGCTTAAAAGTGTATTTAGATACAATGATGAGTGTAATGAGAAACAGAGTATCAGTTTGGTAAGCGAAGAATATATGTATGTTAGTTTCCCCGGTAAAAGGCATTTTGGGAAGATCTGGCAAATTAAACACCATGCTTTTTAGAAGTTCACATGCAGATTGATTAAAGTTGAAAGTTAAAACCCTCAGAACTTTTCTGAATGAATGCAAAAAAATCTCTGTTCATTGAGTTAAAAAGAGCTGAGGATGTTGAGTTTCTTTTAGCCTTATGTTTTCCTTCAAGTATGGCTTTGGGTATCTGTTTCAGATAGCATCATTGAGTCAAGCAAAGTAGTTACTTAGTCAGTTTTGACTTAAGTAGCTATGATAATAATGTGATGGCAATCTTTATATATATATGTATATATAAAAATACTGTATATGTATAAAGATTTATATATATATATATATA